CCCCAAAAAGGGGGCTCCCGCCTGACACGTCCTGGGACTTCACTCACAGACGAGGCTCCTGCTCGTACTTCCTCCATATTCAGGCTTCAAGTGCCCAAAAATGACGACGGTTACAAGAGGCCGATGGGCCGTTTCGGATTAAAACATGAAGCGCGGGCCCCGACGAGGCTCCCGCCTGAGACTTCTTCCAGATTCACGTCGCGGAAAACCAAAAGTGACGACAGTTCGGACATCGGACATCGGACATCGAACCTGCAGCTGTCGCCAGCGGGGGCGTCGCAGGTTGGCGCCGTGGCACCGGGCAAGTGTGAGACAGATGAACAAACAACACATACGTGAGCGTGCTACGCTACAACATGCAAAATACTACAAAGAAGAAGAAAGATCAGGCGCCGTCCTGCCTACATACGCTGCCTCAAGCAATTCCCATTTGTCGGAGAGGGCTTTTGAAATCCACTCGGGCCCTGCGTAACGTACAAAATCATCCGACCACCGCTTCTTCGGATGACCCTGTCGCCGTCGCGCACCCAGTGTTGAAGCGCATTGAGGGTCCCATCGTAACGCCTGTGATGTCCATTCGTATTCTGCCACACTGCAAATTTTCTGAGCCCACCTCCATTTCCGTTGGCGTAGGATCGTGACCCAATCGGAAATTTGCAGATGCTCCATCATCCCTTCAGCTTTGTGGGTGGACCGTCGAATGTAGTCTGCCCGTGGCTCTAGGTCGGAATCGTCTTGCCAAGTCACCTCCGGTCCAAGTTGTCGTGGGTCTCGACGTCGTGGCGCACGCAACATCATACGCAACATCTGGCGCTGTGTTCTGCGGAGTCGGTTATCCATGTCAACTGTCGTTTTGCATGCTTCACACCCATAAAGAATAGTCGGTGTAATCGTTCCATGAAAAAGCCGGATTCGTTTATTAATTGAATAATGCTTCCCTGTCAATTCAGTTCGCAGAGCAAAGAACTTTCTCCATGCCGTCGAGATCCTGTTCTCCAGCTCGGTGCCGTTAAATTCGCTGAATTGAAATTTCCGTCCAAGATATTTCGTCGACCTGTAAGGCGGCAAAATCTCGATTGACATTCCGTTGGCAGTTGCGTGGCTGGGTGCTTTTTCTTTTCTAGACCCTCTGTTGTCGTTGTGGAGAATGTTTGTCTTATCCGGATGTAATTCGAGTCCTGTTTTGGCGGCCTCCTTGCTCAAGTCGTCCAACATGCAAGAGATGTGGCGCAGCGACCCAGCTATCAAAATGATGTCATCCGCAAACCGGAGATTAGTAAGCCGTTCATGCCCACTGTGTAACTGTAATCCAATCCGTTTGGTAGACCACTTCCGTTTGATGTTCCGCATAATACTTTCTGATACGCAGTTGAACACCAGTGAACTCAACGGGTCTCCCTGCTTCGTGCCCCTTTGTATGTGGAGCTCTCTGCTCCTCCTGTCTGTTCGGCCTGTAGCTGTTTGCCCGTCATACTGTTTTGCGATTAGCTGCACGTGTGCCACAGGCGTCCCTTGGTCACTAAGGGCTCGCCAAATGCTTTGGCGGGTGACCGTGTCGAAGGCCTTCTTGAAATCGACCGTGGCTGTCCACAGCGGGATCGTCCACTCTTCCGCCATCTCGTGTACTTGAATGATCGTGAACAGATGGTCGCACGTGCTGCGGTACAGTCGGAAGCCGGCTTGGTCACTGCTTTGCTGAGGGTCTAAGATGGGGTGTAGGCGGTTGTATAGTAGTCGTGAAAACAATTTGTATAGCAGTGGTATGGTCGCGATAGGTCGGTAATTGCGTGGTAGCTGAGGATTGCGACTCTTGTGGATTAACTTGATTGCGGTATTACTCCAGCAGCTTGGCGTCGGCGCCGTCGGGCTTGCAATGCTGTTGTAGAGATCCAGGAGAACCTGCTTCAGCGCTTTGCCTCCGGATTTCAACGCTTCGGCTACTAAGCCTTGTGAGTCAGCCGCCCGGTTCGACTTAAGTTGCCGCAGAGCGAGATCAAGTTCATCAATGCTGAAAGCTGGGGTCCCCGGGTCAGTTGTACTCGGTGTCGGCTGTTGTCCTCGGTTGGTGTCTTGGTAAAGCTTCTCGTAGAAAGCAGCAAACACATCTGCAATTGATTGCCTGTCGTGCTGTGTCTCGCCGTCTGCGTCGATCATGCTACCAATTATTTCCTTCCGTTTGTGCGACTTGATGCCGCTGATGCGCTTCAAGTGCTTGCATTCCGTAAGTAGGTGGTCAATGTGGGCTCGTTGAGTCGCTTTCCGGATGGCTCTCGTCTCTTTCCGTATGGCTTTGTTCAGCCGCCTCCTGGCCGTGGCGTCAGACGGTGGAGTTTCGCGCCTTGCATGTAGTAATGATGACAACTGCTCTGTGGCCTGCATTCGGGCATCCCCCCCCGTTGTGCCAGGCTTCGGCTGGATGTCAGAAAGTATCGATTTGATCGTTGATTCTATCTCGCCACATCGTGCTTCGACATCTTCAATTTCCAACTGCATTTGTAAATCCAAAAGCATACCATCCAGTTTGTCCGTGAGACGCTCCCGGTAGAGCAACAGGTCGTATGGCGGCCACTTCGGTACTTGTTGTTGTTGGTTGGACATTTTGTTCCGCTTGACTGGCTGGTTCGTGTCCACGGTTTTCGTGGGCATCTTCATTGCCAGTCGTACTGCCCGGTGGTCAGAGCCCATGTCAATGGCAGGTGTTGCTTCACAGTCACAAATGATGCTCCAAACCCGCGGGTTGGTCAGCACAAAATCGATATGTCTCTGCACTCCCTGTAGTGACGTATATGTGTATAGCTGGCCCGGCTGCTTCCGAAAGAACGTGTTTGCAAGTCTCAACCGTTGGTGAGCAGCCCATTGCTTTAGCCACTGACCCCTCACATTCACATCTGCCAAACCGTGGTGGCCGATTGTTTTGTGGTCGTCGTCTTCAGTTGCTTGTCCCACTCTGGCATTGCAGTCCGCCCCAACCAAAAACATCATCCGTTGCTGTGTAGCCTCCCGGTGTAGGCTCCCAATAACATCATACATTGACTGCACATGTTGATACGAATATCCACCATGCGGAAAGTAACTGCTCACAATACGTAGTTTGATCCGTCCCTTGTGTACGTCGACATACGCAATTCTCTCATTGATGGGGCGGAACTGTCGTATCGCAGAAACCCACCGCTTGTGAATCACAATTGCGACGCCGCGACTGTTGCTTTGGAGTCCTGTCCCCATAAATGCATGGCCGTCCTGGGATAGCCAGAACTCCTTTTTGACGTCTCGCCATGTTTCGTTTACCGTCGCAAAGTCCCAATCAATATGTCCCAATTCCATAAAGAGTTCTGACATCCTTTCTGCATTTGTCAATCCACGCACATTTTTATTATACGTAATCATCAAAGTACGGTCGCATGTACCATCCGTAACTGTTGTAGTAGTGTGTTGTCCTCCAGCTGATGGCGTACATCTCGTCGATGATGGGCCGTCGGCAGTTGGAGTCCTGAGGGATTGAGAAGCTCCTGAAGGGAAGTCGCCGTCGACGCAATAATACTTGCCCCTTCCCCCCCCTCTCGATTTTCCCTTCGGGTCCGCAGTCGGAGAACAAAAAAGATCTGAACGTGTAGGTGTCAAACTTGTCAAGGTACCTTGGACAACCTGGCGTTGTCCGTCCGTGTCGCCGGAATGGCGTCACTCGCTTTCCTCGGCTGGTTCGGGATTTACTTTAAGCCTCCACTTCCGCATTGACTCTTCCACTGCTGCTTCCACCAATTTCCCGGTCACCGTCGTGTGCCATCCACCGTCTGCATCGTACCATGCTATCTTCCGTTCCTTCCCTTCCCCGTCCCTGATCACTACCATCTCCTTCTGCCATAAGATTTTGACCTCTGTCGTTGTGTGGCTGGGGTGTTTGCCTAAGTGGTACTTCGCATATCCAATCCTTTGCTCACGCTCCCTCTCCTCCTTAGTCAAACCGTTGCGGAAAAATATGTATCCAAACGCCTCTTCATTTTTATTGATCTCGTCCCGCACCTTCCTTCCAAAAATCCACCTTAGCCCGTATTCTAGGGAATTCAATCACACCAAATTTAGTAGGGTCCGCGGTCGTCTTCACAATTGCCTCCGGGTCGTTGCCTAGGAGGCTCTTAAGCTTATTCTCCAGATCCTTCACGATTGTCGGAGCCGACGTGTTCCCGTCGAAGCCGAACGCAATCACCTGCCTAGCGCGCAACTCCTTCTCCGATTCATCCTTAGATCCCCATGGCTGTCCCGTCCTTTGCGACGCACTGCCCCCAAAGGAGCCTTTGTTGATGTTCATGGTGTTCTTCATTTTCTCGATGTCCTTTTTCAGATTCTCGCTTGATTGTTTGGCCTCGTCGATTTTTTGTTTACCTCCTCCCTCACCTCCTCCACCGCTTGCTCCGCTATGTTCGCCGCTAGCTTCGCCTGGCGTGCTAGGTATGTAGCCTTCTCTGCTTCCTTCTTCGTATCTTTCATGTCTTTCCTCAAGCCTGGCATCATTTTCATCATCCTCTTCATCATTGTCTTCATATCTTCATCGTCGTCTTCTTCCTCCTCCTCCTCCATCGCCACCTCTTTGGGGAGTTCCTCCTCTTTAATCTCGTCAGCCTTCAGTTTCTTTTCCTTCGGTGTCGAGCCTGTCTTCGACTCGGCCTTCTTCTTGCCACCCTTGTCCATGGTTGATAGCCGGTGTCGGTCGCGAGAGCGAGAAAGATGCACACAGCAATGTAGAGAATAAGTATTGGTCAACAGAGTAAAGGGTAAGAGGGAATAGAAATGGAATATGGGTATCGAATGTGTGCCTTGAGCCAGGAGGCCTATGACCCGCTCGGATTACCAACATGAAGTGCGGGCCCCATAGAGAGGGGGCTCCCGCCTGAGACTTCCTCGCAATTCACTCACAGACGAGGCTCCCGCCTGAGACTTCCTCCAAATTCAAGCCTGAAGAGCCCAAAAATGAGGACAGTTGCAAGAGGCCGATGACCCGCTCGAATTGCCCACATGAAGTGCGGGCCGCATAGGGAGGAGGCTCCCGCCAAAGTTCCTCGCAATTCGCTCACAGACGAGGCTCCCGTCTGAGATGAGTGAGTGAATGAGTGAGTGAGTGAATGATGATGATGATGATGATGATGATGATGATGATGATGATGATGATGATGATGATGATGGTGACGCTGATGATAATGATGATGATTGGTGATGAATATGAGGATGACGATGACGATGATGATGATGATGCTGTTGATGGTGATGATGATGTTGATGATAATCATGCTCTTGCTGCTGCTGCTGATGATGATGGTGATGGTAATGGTAATGATGATGATGATGATGATGATGATGATGATGATGATGCTGATGATGCTAATGATGCTGCTGATGATGATGATGATGATGACGACGATGATGATGAGAGTGTGAGTGAGTGAGTGAGTGAGTGAGTGAGTGAGTGGGTGAGTAGGTGGGTGAGTGGGTGAGTGGGTGATTGAGTGCATGAGTGACGATGATGAGTGTGTGTGATGATGAGTGGTGAGGTGAGGGATAGTTTAGAGTGACATGAATGAAAGACATCGAGTAAGTGTGATGACGAGTGAGTGATGATTGACAGTGAGTGAGTGTGTGTGTGCGCGTGGGACTGATGCTGATGGTGTGAGTAATTGAGTGAATGAGTGAGTGTGCGACGGGAGAAGAGGAGAGGGGGTGAGGTGTGAGGTTCCTGCGCGGGGGATGCGCAGAGAAAACGAGAACCCTACTTCGGATGCGGGGAATCATTGATCCGCATCCTGAGCTTCTAAGGCGGCCCAGGCAGGCAACCAAGGCCGCCAAAACGGCCCAACATGCCTCGAAGACGGCCCAGGATGGCCCCAAGGCGGCCCGAAATGGCCTCAAGACGGCCCAGGATGCCTTCAAGAGGGCCACAAGATGACCATGAACTAGGCCCGAAGAAGCCAATAATCATTGATGGTCGATCAGGAGTTTCGCAATCTCGTCTTCTCGAACTTCCGTCAGCTCCAGATGGCCCAAGAAGCCTCCAAGATGGCCTCAAGAGGCTCCCATGAGAGTCCTACGATGGCCCAAACGGAACCCGTGATGGCCCAAAAGGCCTCCAAGATGGGCCCAACATGGCTGTAGAGGGCCTCCGGAGGGAGCCAATGCAGCCTCCGAGGGCCCCATCGACGGCCTCAGACGGCGCCAAGAGGGCCCCACAACGGCCCCAAGACACCCTCCGTACGGCCAAGAGGAGCCCCGGACGGCCCAAGAGCGCCCCAAGGCGGCAGAGGATGGCCCGAAGGCAGACCGAGAGGGCCCCAAGGGACCTCTCAAAGACTGCTCCGCAGGAGGCCGGGCCGGCCCCAAGACGGCCCAAGAGAGGTCCACGAGAGCCCCTCGAGGGGTGAAGACGTAAGGTGACACAAGTGACAGCTATCCTCTTCTTCCTCCTCCTCCTCCTGCTTCTCCTAATCCTAATCCTCCTTCTCCTCCTCCTTCTCCTAATCCTCCTCCTCCTCCTCCTTCTCCTAATCCTCCTCGTCACCATTTTCATCCTCATTATCATCATCAGCATCACCACCACCACTACCATCATCACCACCTTCCTCGTCCTCGTCCTCGTCCTCGTCCTCGTCCTCGTCCTCCTCTTCCTCCTCCTCCTCCTTCGCATCACCATCATCGCCACCATCATCATCGTCTTCACAACCACCACTGTCACCAGAAACGACAATCACCATCACCACCAGCACAATCACCATCACAACCAGAACAATCACCATAACCATCACCATCACCATCATCACCATCAACGTCATCATCATCACCATCACGATCATCGTCGTCGTTGTCCTCCTCCTCCTCATCCTTGTCATCATCATCCTTATCAGCATCATCATCAGCAGCATCATCATCATCAGAACACCTGTCATCGTGTGATTCATCCCCATCGTCCGCCACAATCCCCGTCATCCTCTTATTACCCTCTTCACGTACTCATCGTCGTGTCGTTATCATCGCCCTCATCGATTCTGACAGCTGCCCCCAAGACTACTGGACTGGCACGGTGGCGGGACTCGCCGCAGGCAGCTGGATTGTCGGGCTTCACGTCCCGGTGCACAACGCTGTGGGTGTGCACGCAAGCCACGGCCTTGAGCATCTGGCTCGCAAACCTCCCGTGAGGCAGAGCAGTTTCACGCCGTGTGCACACGTCTGCACGTATGGCGGTAGGCGGCGCGCGCAAGGAAAGGCTCGAGGCGCTCGGGCATTGTCCTCGGTTCTCGACGGCTTTCCTGCCTCGGGCTGCGCTCCAGCAGCTGCGCCTCCCCGATAGGTTCCGGGGGTGCTCCGATCGCCCCGACAAGGCCGCCGGAGGTTCGAGGCACGATCCGGAAAACACTACGGCCCCAGATCTCCGACGATCTGCTTTTCTTTCACCAGCGTCCTTTTCTCTGATTTCGGCCATCATCCTCCTCCTCCTGCTCCTCCTCCTCCTTTTCCTTCTCCTCCTCCTCCTCCTCCTCCTCTTCCTCCTCGTCGTCGTCCTCCTCCTCCGCCTCCTCCTCTTCCTTCTCCTCCTCTTCCTCCTCCTCCTCCTCCTCCTCCTCTTCCTCCCCCCTCCTCACCCTCCTCCTCCTCCTCTTCCTCCTCCGCCTGAGGGCAATGGGCTCCGGGGCCATCAGAAACGGGTCCAGGGCGGAAAACTACCCGCAGACGCTGTCGGGACCTCTTGGGGCCGCGGGCCGAAAAAACTGGATCGGCGGATGTCAAAGGTCGGTATGCAAGGCTGTACATACATGCTTGCATATACCTAGATGTATGTACTCCATACATACATATATGGTGTATATGCAAGGCTGTAAATGCAGGCTGTATGTGTAAGGCGATGCAAAGGCTGTATATGTAAAGCTGCAAAGTTGTGAAGGCTCTATATGTAAGGCTGCACGCATACATACATAGGGCTGTGAAGGCTGTATCTGTAGGGCTGTAAAGGCCGTAAATGTAAAGCTGTAAGGCTGCATACATGCATGTATGGCTGCAAAGGGTGTAAATGTAAGTCTGTATGCATACACATGCTGTAGTTGTAAGACTGTATACACACATATTTATATACATATATATATGTATGTGTATATGTATATGCATGTACACACTTGATGTATATGCAAGACTGTAATACATACATACCTATGCACATGCATCTACCAAACCTACATGCGTACGTGCATATATGATCCAGGGTCGAGGGCCCACGGGCCCCCCCCCCCAGATGGTATGGTCCCAGGATTCCTCGGGCCCCCCCCCCCCAAGATGGTATGGTCCCAGAGACGACGACGACGACGACGACGACGACGACGACGACGGCGACGACGGCGACGACGACGACGACGACGACGACGACCACGACGACGACAACGACGGCTGCGGCGGCGACGACGCCGGCGGCGGCGGCGACGACGACGATGACGACGATGACGACGGCGACGACGACGATGACGACGACGACGACGATGACGACGACGACGATGACGACGACGACGACGACGACGAGGACGACGAGGACGACGAGGACGACGACGACGACGACGACGACGACGACGACGACGACGACGACCTCTGAACCACCACAGCACCACACCACATCCACAGGGGGAGGGGGGCACCGCAGTGCAACACCACGCCACGCCCACCTCTGAACCACCACAGCACCACACCACATCCACAGGGGGGGGGGGAACCGCAGCAGCAGCCACCACGCCACGCCCAGCAGGGGGGGGCGGGGCATGGTCACACATGTATACATACATGCGCGTACGGGGATGGGGGGGCCCATATGTATATATACATGCATCATGCATTGGTGTATGTAAACGCACGGGGGCCACATAATGCCCTGGACTTGTATACATACATACATGCATGCATACATGGACACATGCATACATGCACACATGCATGCATGCACACATACATACAAACATGCATGCGTGCATGCATGCATGCATACGTACATACATATGCTAAAACCAAGCGCGCGCCTAGGTTCTAGACGACTGCACAGTCGTTGTCAATAGACTTTGCCCTGATCCACTGAACCCAAGGTGCCCAAGGAGAGGTTCCCTAGGCAAGGGCCGCCCTTTGCGCGTGGAGGTGCTGGGCCTTCTGGGGGGTACCTTAGGGTTCGGTGGGCGGTCGCGGAGCCGCGCGGCGATTGCAGCACGCCTGGTAGCTGATCGCGTTGCAATCGTCGAGCATTCAGGCTGAAGACAGTGAGATCGCGTCGTTAATTTCGCCCTGGCGGCGAAGTTGGGAGAGTAGATGCGGAACCGAAGTCACAGGAGGGAACAGAGGAGAGGGATGGTGGACAGAGAAGGCGGGCGCAGGAGAGAAAGATGGTCGACTGCGGGGTTGAAGGAAAAGCGAGGATTGAGAGGGATGGGGAGGGGAGATTGAAGTGGGGGGAAGGCGGCGGATGGGGAGCGTCTTGGGAGACCTCCGGGCGCCTGGAGGCTATCTTGGACGCTTCGGGAGCGATTTTCAGCCGTCTCGGAGCCTCGGAGGGCGGCCCGGAGAGCACCCCAGGGCGGGGGGGCATCGTCGTGCAAGGGAGGGGGCCGCTCCGGGGCCCCGGGGCCGGGATCTCCCACGTGACGCTTTGTAATATCAGATTTGAAGTTCCTCGGGGCCTCTTGGGAGCTTCCTTGGGGCCTCTTTTGGGCCTCCTGGGGGCCTCTGGGGCCCTGCAAGGCTCTTTTGGGCAAATGGGTTAGTTCATTATCCCGGTTGGCCCGTATCCTCTGGCAAGATTGCAGGAGAGGCACAAATGGAAAGGACGGGAAACGGAAACAGGGATGAATCAACGGATGAATAGGGATTCCTCCTTCTTCCTTTTCGTCCGCTGCTTGATGTTTGTTATCCTCCTCCTCCTCCTCCTCCTCCTCCTCCTCCTCCTCCTCCTCCTCCTCCTCCTCCTCCTCCTCCTCCTCCTCCCCCTCCTCCCCCTCCTCCTCCTCCTCCTCCTCCTCCTCCTCCTCCTCCTCCTCCTCCTCCTCCTCCTCCTCTTCCTCCCCCTCCTCCTCCTCCTCCTCCTCCTCCTCCTCCTCCTCCTCATCCCCCTCTTCATCCTCCCCCTCTCATCATCCTCGTCATCCTCAGCTGCGTGCTCTGCCTCCGCGGTCCTCCTCCCCTCCTCTTCCTCTATCGACTGGCGGCGACACTCATGTTCCCGGCAGGCTTTCCAGGAACATGATTGTCGCCGCCAGTCGTCCCAACTAAGGCTGCAAAAGCTGCAGGACGGCCCAATGGAATCAGTCGAAAAACTTTGGGAAGGTGGGTGAAGAGGCGGAGTTTGGAAATGAAATGGAGGAGGTACGAGGTAGGTACAAAGCAAGAACGACTGGAGCTGGCAAGGCGAAGCCGAGGAGGGTGAGAAAGAGCGCGGGGGGCTGACAACACAGACCGAAATGGGTTTCGGCCCATCCCGCCGCCGTCCCCGGATCGTGGGTCGACAGCCGGTCGAATGTTGACGGAAGCCGCGTGGGACCTCTTGGGGGCCGTTTCTAAGGTTTTGTCTTTGACCATTAGGGGCCGTCCAGTGCGCCCCTGGGGCCGCTTGTGGGCCCGCGTGGGCCCCCATCATCGTTGTTGTCGCCTGGATCATCTTCATTCTTAGCTTCATGATTTGCCTTTTGTTGCCCGTTGTCCTGTCTTCCCCCCCTCCTCCTCCTCCTCCTCCCCCCCCTCCTCCTCCTCCTCCTCCTCCTCCTCCTCCTCCTCTCTCTTCCTCCTCCTCCTCCTCCTCCTCCTCCTCCTCCCTCCCCTCCTCCTCCTCCTCCTCCTCCTCCTCACCTCCTCCTCCTCCTCCTCCTCCTCCTCCTCCTCCTCCTCCTCCTCCCCCTCCTCCTCCTCCTCCCCCTCCTCCTCTCCTCCTCCTCCTCCTCCTCCTCCTCCTCCTCCTCCTCTTCCTCCTCCTCTCACTCCCCCTTCCTCCCCCTCCCACTCCCCCTACCTCCTCCCCCTTTTTCCTCCTCCTCCTCCTCCTGCTCAGTGTGTGATTGTGTACAACCCCCCGCCAAGATCTACCTTTTCACGGCCGCTCCTCTGCCTCCCCTGCCCCGTTCACTCGGGCGCACGCTCACATGGATTATGGTTGCGTGGATCTGGCGTGCGGGCGCCAGATCCACGGATCGGGGAGAGCATACAGTAGGGGCTCGACCACAAGAAACCGTCCACAAGACATCCAACCCTGAGACCCCAGGACGTCCATCTATGTTTGATGTGGGAACGTCACGCTATCCATGGCAAAACCATCGAAACCCAGGGCACCCTGGAGGCAAGCAGGCTTTCTCTTGGCATGGGCCCCCACCGCACACCCCCCGACACACGCGGCCACTGCCGCCCGATTTGGAGACGGAGCGCGCCGACTCTGCACTGAAGCGGGACCCGTCGCCCATCCACGCGCCTCAACCCGTGTGTGCGCTGCCTCGGCCATCGGCGACGGATGGGCGATTTGGGGGTCGATGCCACTCCCCCGGAGCCAGTCCACCGGTGGATCTCGGGTCACACGTCGGGCCTCCAGCGGCCGTTCAGGACGATCCCTGAAACCGCGGATCGCTCTCGGCGAGGCGCAGTCGCTGAAGGCACCCCGAGGCTGGAAAGCTGCCGAGAACCGACGCGAAAGCCCGAAAACCTCGAGCCTCGAGCCTGCTCCCCGGACCTCTCCTGGGGTGCGTTCCTCGAGCAGGACCGTCACCTGGTCCTTGCTGCTGCTCGACGCTGGGGCCGCCTGCCAGGCGCGCGGAGCGCGCCAGGGGCAGCGCTGGAGGCGCCGCAGGGGGAGCCCAGCGCCGATCGAAGACATCCGCGCGGACTCCGAAAGCTTATGCAAGGGCTCCCAACTTCGCGCTTCGCGCTGCGCGAAGCGCCAAGTGCGAACGACTTCGCGCTCTCGCGCCGCCTCCCAGGGGGAAGGGGAGGATGAGGAGGAATCGGAGCCGAACGGCGAAGCGCGAATCACTTCGCGCCCTCGAGGGCTCCCTTGCTTACGTTTGTCACATGTTCCTCCTTCGACTCGAGCGGGGCCGTTTCCTCGCGCTTGCCGCTCCTCAACGTGCCCTGCATCCTCGTCCTCGTCGTCGTCCTCTGCCCCCCCCCCCCCCCCCCGTCCGGCTATGTATGCGCACGTGCCACTGCCCAGTGGCGGCTTTCCCCCTCTGGCCGTCCCTGTTAAAGCGCCAACTTTTCACTAGAGTTCTTTCGAGAACGGCAGAAGAAGCGAACACTTGAAGAAAAGAGGAGGAAGAGGCAGAGGAGGAGGATGAGGAAGAGGAGGAGGAGGAGGAGGAGGAGGAGGAGGAGGAGGAGGGAGGAGGAGGAGAGAGGAGGAGGAGGGAGGAGGAGGAGGAGGAGGAGGAGGAGGAGGAGGAGGAGGAGGAGGAGAAGGGAAGAGGCCCGTCCCAGACCTCCGCTCTCGCCCATCTCCTCCTCCTCCTCCTCGCCGTCGTCCTCTCTCCTCGAGCAGGATCGTCTGCGCTCTCCCCCAGGAAGAAGCCGCGTTCGGCTTCGGCCCGTTTCGGCTCCGGCCCGTCTCGGCTCCATCGGTCTGTTTCGGTTTCGGCTTGTTTGGGTTTCGGCCCGGTTCGGCTTCGGCCCGTTTCGGCTCCGTCCCAAGCCTTAACGGGCCGAAGTCGAAACGGGCCGACAGCCGAAACGGGCCTGAAGCCGAATCGGGCCCTAGTCCCCAGGCGGCCCCAACATCCGCTGGATAAATCGAACCAGATCGACACGAACGTCGAGTCTGCATGCATGGGCTGAAAATCAGCTGCACCATCGCATCGGCAAACATCGGCGGAGCCGAACCGGATCGAATCGGAAACTCGAGTCGAATCGGATCGAGTCGGAGCCCTGGGAGACCGCTTGGAGTCGGCCAGGTGGAGTCGGAACGCGTCCTGCCCCTCCCCTCTTGAGTATCGTTTAACCGATCCCCATCCCCAGCGGCGTGGCCTGGGCCCCACTGGTCGATGTACCCCCCTAATCGATGAGGATATAGGTCGTTCCCTTCGGGTTTCGAGGGGTGTATCCCCAACTGGGGTGGTAATTTGGTGGGGTCTCGAAGGGGATGGGGATGGGGATGGGGGTCGCTTAAACGATACCGACCTCTGGCCCCGGGCGGCGACCCTGCGAGGCTGAGCTCGGTGAGCTCGGACATGCCCTCGAGCACCGCCATGAGCGGCATGCTGCACCTCTCGTCAGAGGCCCCCCCCCAGGCCAGGATCGGGGACCGCACACCGGGACTCGCGATAGACTTCGTGCGAGGGGGGGATTTATATCCATGTCCACAGCCTGGGAACCGGCGTCCTGGTGCCCCAGCGGGCGGTGGATCGGAGGTTGGGGGGTGAGATCGCAGTGAAACGGAGACCCCCCACCGGGAAATCGGTTTCGGTTTCGTGTTCGTGTCGTGCGTGCGGGCGAGGCGAAGCTGCGCGTGATCCTCCTGTAGCAGCGAAATTCCGTTTCCCGTCCGCCAATGGCCAGGAGGTGTCCCAGTTGGGCCAGGCGGTGTCCTGGGTGTCCCGGGTGTCAATAGGAGCGAAACTCTGTTTCCCGTCCGCCGGTGGTTCCAATTGGGCTGGGCGGTGTCCCGGGTGTCCCGGGTGTCCCGGGCGTCACGGCGCTAACGCATGTCGCTAATTTCATAATTCATTTGTTTCGGCGCCTGCGGCGGGCTTTCTTATCCAATCCAGCTTATCTTCTCCAATCCATCTTGTCCAATCCAATACATCTTATCTTATCCAACCCATCTTGTCCCATCTTATCTTATCCCACCCAATCCAATCCACCCAACCCAATCCATCAAATCATTTGTTCTGCTCCCAATCTCAATCCCCCCAACCTCCTTATCGCCCACAGGGCGGTCGTCTAGGTATGGATATATAGTTCGGCCCCTGAAGGTCCGAAGATGTCCATATCCACCGCCTGCCGAGGCTCCGAAAACTGAACCTCCAAGCGGTGGTCATGTATTGACTACCTACCAGACCACCCCAACCCAACCCGAAGACCCGAATTTCGGGTTGGGGGGGGTAAGGGTTCCACATGTATTTTTTCGATGTTTCCCGACCCCCCCCCACTGGAAATCGAGGGTAAATCTGAGCCTTCGGGTTGGGTTGGGGTGGTTTGGTGGGTGGTGATGTATAACTTCCCCCCTCGGACTCCTTGAGGCCTCCGGAGCCCTCGAGGGAGGGCCCGCCCAGCTCGGGTGCGAAAACCTGGAGCTGGCACCGGCGGCACCTCGCCGACGGATCGGCGATGGGCCTCCGGTCGCAAGAGCACTGCACGTGCCCGGGCGGGAGAGGGGGCTGCCGGGTCCCCATCGGCGAGGAGGGGGCGATGGAAGTCGATGCGCCCCCTCCTGACCTCGGGGGCGCGAAAACATGGATTGACGATCCATGGATTCGGCGCGCGCCTCTCCCCAAAATGCGGCAGGTGCCGCCTCGTCTGGCGGCGGAAATCCGCGATTTCCCATGGAAACGGGACCCGTCGCTAATCCACGCCCCCTTGATCCATGTTTGCGATCGCCTGATGAGCCTCTCCCCCCCCCCGAGTGATGCCCCTGCACCTCTCGCCAGGGCTCCCCCAGGCCAGCATCGAGGACCGAACCTCGAGACTCACAGGTGCTTCCAGACTCTCTAGAGAACGGGAAACAACGACATCGACGTCGACTTTCGGAGCTCCGCTCCGCTCCGTGCGCGCTCGGGGCGGCGCTGGAGGCGCCGCCAGCGGGCCCCCATCGTCGATCCAAGAAATCCGCACGGAGCTCCAAAAGATCGGGTTCATGCCGCTTTTCTTGCGGGCGCAGCGAGACTCACGGACGCTTTCGGCCTCTCGGTTCATGCCGTGTTTCTTGTTCGCGCATCGAGACTCACGGACGCTTTGAGCCTCTCGTGGGTCTCCCCAGGGGCACTTTTCTGTCCCAGATCCACTTTTCGATGGCCCCGGCGTCCGATGACGGGAGGGGAGGGGGGCCCAGCGCCGACCCAAGAAATCCGCGCGAAGCTCCGAAAGTGCGTGTTTATGCTATTTGTCTTTTCGAGTCTCGGCCGTACACGACAACAGCATCGTTGCGAAAATGTAAAACAGCACGAAAAATCGTGACCAAAGCCCTGGACCCCATCTCTGTCTGCGGATTTTTTCGAGCCGGATCGATCTGTGATGGCCCCAGGCCTCGAATCAAGGCAACAGCGTGACGCCGAGACGTCAGGGTACCCAGTTCGGTCATCACGAGAGCAGACCTCTCCAGCACGATGTAGTGAAACCGGCGGCAGCACGTGAAGTCCACGAGCCTGCAGCAGTGCTCGCAGTCGCCGAGCACCCGGAGAATCCGGGCCTCCTGCCGTGCCACGCGCTCCTGGAGCTCGTCCTATCTCGAGGGGGAACGGCAGAGAAGGAAGAAAAAGGAGGCGGAGGAGGAGGAGGAGGAGGAGGAGGAGGAGGAGGAGAAGGAGGGAGGAGGGGAGGAGGAGTGGAGAGAGGAGAGAGGAGGAGGAGGAGGAGGAGGAGGAGGAGGAGGAGGAGGAGGAGGAGGAGGAGGAGGAGGAGGAGGGAGGAGGAGGAGGATGAGGAGAGAGGAGGAGGAGGAGGAGGAGGAGGAGGAGGAGGGGAGGAGGGGGGAGAAGGAGGCGGAGGGAAGGAGGAGGAGAGGAGGAGGAAGAGGAGAGAAGGAGGAGGGAGGGGAGGGAGGGGGGAGGGAGGGAGGGAGGAAGGGAGGGGAGGAAGAGAGGAGGAGGAGGCGGAGGAGGAGGAGGAGGAGGAGGAGGAGGAGGGTGGTGTGGAGGAGGGAGAGGGGGTGGAGGAGAGGAGGAGGAGGAGGAGGGAGGAGGAGGAGGAGGAGGGGGGAGGAGGACGAGCAGGAGGAGGAGGAGGGAGAAGGGAGGAAGGGAGGGAGGAGAGGGGGAGGGATGGGAGGAGAGGGAGTGGAGTGGATGGAGGGGAGGGAGGAGGAGGAGAGGGGAGAGGGAGGGAGGGAGGGAGGAGGGAGGGAGGGAGGGAGGGAGGAAGAGAGGAGGAGGAGGAGGAAGCGGAGGAGGAGGAGAGGAGGAGGAGGAGGGGAGGAGGAGGTGGTGGAGGAGGATGAGGAGGAGGGGAGGAGGAGGAGGAGGAGGAGAGAGGAGCAGGAGGAGGAGGATAGGAGGAGAGGAGGAGGAGGAGGAGGGAGAGAAGGAGGAGGAGGAGGAGGAGGAGGGGTGCGGGAGGAGGAGGAGGAGGAGGAGGAGGAGGAGGAGGAGGAGGAGGAGAGGAGGAGGGGAGGAGGAGGAGGAGGAGGAGGAGGAGGTGGGAGGGAGGGAGGGAGGGAGGGAGGGAGGGAGGGAGGGGAGGGAGAGAGGAGGAGGAGGCGGAGGAGGATGATGATGAGGAGGAGGAGGTGGTGGTGGAGGAGGGGAGAAGGGGTCGGGATGAGGAGGAGGAGGCGGAGGAGGAGGAGGAGAAGGAGGAGGAGGAGGATACTGGCCCATGGGGGCGAAGATCAACCTTACGGCTCACGGGGAGGGGGAGACTGACTCCTGGGGACGATCGAAAACTGGACTTGCGCGCGATGACACACACACACACACACACACAGCGACCTTACGCGGCGGCTTCCGCGGGCTGCCCGCGCGGCACGCGACAGTGGAGGCGAGGGCGCTTGCGCGCGACATTACGCTGGCAGCTTACGCGCCAATGTCGGCGAAGACGACACCGATTTCTGGCGTCGCTCCTAGAATCGTCGATGCATTGCCGATAACGAAACCGCGCGTTACTGGGCGGGGGGTGGGCTATCGGCACCCCCGTCAGCGATGCATGGGCGATTGGGGGTCGGTGCATCCCACCCTGAGCCCATCCCCCCCTGACGTTGCCCCTGATCCTTCTGTCCCCTCAGGTCGGTAACCTTCACCGCGAACTGTTCCTCGGATCCGTCGATCACTTTCCTCAGGAGGAGAAACACATATCGGCATCAACATAAACGTTCCAAACCCTGTGCGGATCTTTTGGATCCGCGCTGGGCCCAGCTCCCTGGCTCGTTGAGTTAGCCAGGAACGGCGCCTGAGGCGCCGCCCGGGGGGGCCCTCGCAAAGATCCTAGAAAACCGCGCGGACCGCGGAAAGTTTATGTCTGCATCGCTCTTTGTCCCTCGAACGAAGATCGACAATCGATCCCAAGACCGACAATCGAAAACCGACAATCGAAAACCAACAGTCGAAAACCAGCGCCGATCCATGACGACCGCGCGGAGCTCCGAAAGTTTATGTTCATATCGCGTGTTGTTCCTCAACTTCCTGCACGCGTAAACGCGGGCGAAGCAACCCTCGCCGAGGCTCTCCTCCAGGGCGTACTCCCTGTGGAAGCTGCGGGCCGCGCTCCTACGCGGGGTCCGCGGGCTGTCCCCCTCCTCGCTCGGCGAGGTCGGCGGGATGACGTCTATGGCCTGGTCGTCCTGGCTGGTCCTACCCGTAGGCTGAGAGCAGCCCATCAGCCTTAGGATCGACGGTTGGCCTTCGAGGGAGAAATAACAATACAGGCATAAGCTTTCGGCAGTCCGCGCGGAGTTCTTGGATCTGCGCCAAGCCCCCCCCCGCCCCCCCGCAGCGCCTTCGCCACCGCCCTTGGCGCGCTCCGCGCCCCAGGGAGGAGGGTACAGCACGGATCCAAGAAGTTCGCGTGGACCTCCGAAGGTGTTGATGGTTCTGTGTAGCGTATGGTTCTTCCTCGAACTCTGGAAGCCTGAGCCGCAAAAGGCTTGTTCACAGCGCCGGACGGTCCATCATGGCGGCTCAAATGCTGGCGGTTGCGACGGTGATGGCGGTAGGCGAGGAGCGCGACTTCGCAACACCCCATCGCGCTGTCCTATCTCCTCCCATGTCTCCCTTGCGCATCCCGTCTCCTCCCCTCCTGCCATTCCAATCCTTGCCCACTCTCTCGCCCTCCCCCCTCGCACATCCCCGTTCCACCACTCCGCTCCCGGATTCTGGTGCTCCCCTTCCGTTCCCCCCCTCTCTCCCCTCCCCCCCCCCCCACGCCCTTCTCCCCACCCCTCCCCCCTTCCCCTGCCATCTCCTCCCGCCACCCCCCGTCCCCCATCTAAGTAATCCCACCAGCTCTCTGGGCGTAGGTGGTTTAACTGACTTTGTCTTCTCTCTCTGCCCAAACCCCTCCTTCCCCTGCTCTGGGGAAGGGTATATCACTGATCCATACAAATGTACACCCCCTCCCCCAGGCGACTGGCAGCCAACCAGGAATAATCCCGACCCTATGCTCCCCACCCCCCAATTGTCCCCATCGAAAAACAATACAAAACGCACCCTGCCTCCAAATCCCACCAGCCCTCTGGGCGTCGGTGGTTTAGGGCGTTTCCTCTTCCACCCCTCCCTCTTCCCCTTCGGGGAGGGGTTTACCCCTCCCCCTACCCCCTCTCCACTGACCTGGACAGGAGGGGCCGCGAGCGGTCAGAGCGTCCAAAACGGCCTCGGCGAGGAAGCCAAAATCATTGATCTTACTATGGTTTGGGTCCAATTTTGGCCCTCTGAGGGGGCAGCGCTAATTAAAGCTCCCCTCTTCTTTGATCGATTTCCTCCACGATGGCCGCAAGAGGCCCCCAGGATGCCCCAAGAGGCCGCAGGATGGCCCCAAGATGGCCCCAAGAGGCCCCCCAAGAGGCCCCCAAGAGGCCCCAAGAGACCCCCCTGCAGAGGCACCCAAGGTGCTCCCAGAGGCCTCGGCGATAATGTCAAACCATTGTTTGCACTAAGGTTTTAGCCACATGTTGGCCTCTTGGGGGGGGCACTGATTAAGATGACTCCAAGAGCGCCTCGGAGAGCCCCAAATGACCTCCAAGATGGCTCAAGAAATCCCAAGATGTCTCATACTGGCTTCCTCTGTGTGCTGTCCACTTCCCTGATCGAGGCAATCCCACCAGCCCTCTGGGCGTCGGTGGTTTAAGGCGTTTCCTCTTCCACCCCTCCCTCTTTCCCTTCGGGGAGGGGTTTACCCCTCCCCCTACCCCCTCCCCGTGGACCTGGACGGGGGGGGCCGCGAGCGGTCAGAGCGTCCAAAACGGCCTCGGCGAGGAAGCCAAAATCATTGATTTTACTGAGATTGTGGCCCCATTTTGGCCTCCTGAGGGGGCAAAGATGGCCCCAAGAAGCGCCCAGGAGGCCCCCAAAGGCCCCAAGATGGCCCCAAGAGGCCCCAAGAGGCCCCCAGGAGGCCCCAAAGAGGATCCCGAACGGCCCACAGAGGCCCCCCCGAGGCACCCAAGACGCCGAAAAGCCCCTCAGGACGACCCTCTACTCGCCTGGGCGTCGTTTCTGGACGGGCTGGTGGGGATACGCGAAGCGTCTAGAATTTGGAGCCTGCGCAACCAACCCGATGCGAGTCCCCCCCACCACTTTTATCGAAGAGCAATACTACGTACAACTTGGGGCAAAATCTTGAGTCATGTTCGTGAGGACCGCGAGCACTTTGGTTGTTCTTGGCAGGGACAGCGGGGTGTCAGCATATTCCCTGCTGCGCGCAAGGCTACCATCCCTGACAAAAATCAATACACACAACATGTACCCCGCGGCTCAATCTGGATCATGCGCGGCCATCCCGCGATCCCTGTCACATCTGGCGCGCTCGGAGCACGTGGCGCATCTGGCGCACCAGGCGTGCCTGGCACGCTCGGGCTCCAGGGGTGCCTGGCGCGCTTGGCGCCCCTGGCACGCGTGGCGCACCTCGCCCCAGCGTCGCGCACCTGGGGCCTGCTTTGGTTCCCAGTATCTGTCCATCCAAAGACGACCGTTGAACATGCTGAGGCGCGGGTTTGGGAGGTGAAGTAGGAGTGAACTAAGCGGCTTGCGGGCGGGTGGGTAGCTTGACCCCTCCCCCTGGCCCCCTACCCAGGGTCTGGGAAGGGGACGGCGCGCGGGGCACAGTACGACCACAACGACGCTTTACAATCGAGAAAGGGCACTTTGCGACCAGCATGGATTTTCCCAGAAACGCACTTTACAACCAGGAAGGCCCAACCCGACAAGTAAACGCAACGCACATTAGCGACAAATGCGCTTCACTTTCCGAACTACCCGCGGGTCCACGCAAGGGAGACACTTCGTTTTCTGAATCCTGATAGTTGTAAAGCACCTCGTTTGAAACAACAATATAGCGGCTTCCTGAGTTCCAAGCGGATTCCGATCGGAATCCTATCGGTGCACTTCCGACTGTGACCCTATTGGCATCAGACGATCCCATTGGAATCCAATCGTGTTCGTTGCTTTAGGGCCTCCTGGTGTCCCACTGGAATCCAATGCGGGGCGCTTCTGATTGAAACCCTACCGGTGTCTTTCCGATTGGAGGCCAAATGGAGGCCGGCTGCAATCGTGGAGCATTCCTAGCGAAAGATGGCGGTAAACGAACTGGAGCCTGATATTGAAGCCCGACGGGGATTGTATTGGCATCTCATTGGAATGATAGTGGCGAGTGCTTTTTTATTGAAAAAAGGAGAAGCAGGAAGTACTCAAGTCGGTCGCGTGCCTGTCCTGCGAACGTGGCCGAAACGCAAGCAAGTGAGTGAATACGGGAACGGGCCATGCCACGATTACGTTGCTGCTAACTGTAGGCGCCGGCCTCGAGCCAACAAATCCTGCCCCCCTGGATAGACAGACGCAAACAAAAACAGCGACCTGTGACGATTATTGCCCGGGCGAGCGGTCGAGGAGGAGGAGGAGGAGACAAGTGAAACCAGATAGCGAAAGATACGAATTAGCCCAACAACGTATCAGCCCCTGGCCTGCCAAGCTGATGTTGGACAGCCCCGTATTGAACGGCCTCGACGGACAAACAATACATTCGCCACGGTAGGACGGTACTATATAAACCGTATTGCCGGCGGGGAGCTATTCACCACATAACACCCGTGAAAGTCATCCGCTGTCACAGACGGCGGCCATGCACAAACGCGCAATAACATAGTAGGTCAAATAATACCCTCTTTGCAGCCCTTATGGCTGCCCAGCCCTAGCTGGGTGAAGAAAAAACGGCCACAATCCACAAGAGGAGGAAGAAACAGGAGGACAAGACCAACGACGGCAAAAGGAGGAGAGCAACGCAGACGAGGGGGAACTGTCTCGCACGCAATCTATCGGCCACGCGGCCGGGACAACGCCGACTGGGCCTCCGCACAGTCACGGACTCGGTGCGCGGCCTCGTGACTTCCAGTGGCAATCCACGGTCGGATAGGCTGGTACACGTAGAAAGGAGGGAGCGGGGGCGAGCAAGGCGAAGGAGGGGGAATTGCCGCGCACGCAATCTATCGGCTACGTGGCCGGGACATAACGACACCGCTGGCGCTTGCGAGGACGACTCCGCGACTGGGCCTCCGCACAGCGAGTCTCCTGTCACGGACTCGGTGCGCAGCCCCATCGCGACTTCCAGTGGCCATCCACGGCCCGATGAGCTGGCGCAACTAGAAAGGAGGGAGAGGAGCAGAGAGGAGGAGGGGGCGACTGCGCACTCGCACCGCGCGACTCCGTGAGGGCCCCGAGCGGATACGCCGTCCAGCCGGCCGGCACAGCCAAAGTGGCACCACGCAGCCAGACCGAGGGAGGAGCAGGCGGGAAGAGGGCGATAGCGCGCTCCTGCTGACCGTCTTGGGCCTTGACGGCCTCAAGTGCCCCGCCGGTCAGGCAGTGTCTGCTCTGACGCCACTGCTTCGGACGCCCCCCCCCGCAGGGGGGCCACAAACCTGAGGAAGCCAAAGGACCGCCCCCGACGACGGCGACGACGGCGGCGATGGCGACGACGAAAACGACGGCGACGACGACGGCGACGGCCACGACGACAACGACGACGACGACGACGACGACGACGAGAGAAACGGTCCCCCGCTCCCCCCGAGCGTGGGGCCCCCGGGTGGAGGCAAGGAGGAGGAGGAGGAGGAGAGGGCGTAGCTGGGCGACGCGCCCCGCACGGGAAAAGATGTTCAGGCAAATTTCCAGGATTTGCCAGATCATCTTTTTGGCCATTTTCAGGCTGGGGACCTAGCTCCATAGGTGATGCAAGGCCTGGCCCCTCCAGGGCTAAAAAAACTGAAGCAAGCCCTGGCCTCTCCAAAGCTGATATAGCTACAACACCGTCATCAGGCGCGGCTCCTACCGCTGGCAGTGAGTCAGGGGCCACAAAATCAAAACGAGCGGAGGACGAGGAAGAGGCGGAGGAGGAGGAAGAGGAGGGACAAACATATGGTGAACGCGCGCGGCGGGCGCCTCAAGGAACGAGGGCCTAGTAAACCACGTACAGGATGAGGTCCGAGCAGCCCGCTACCGAACCCATGTGTCAGCCAACGCCCGTCGAAGTCGAGGATGTCCGGCGGCCGCCTCCCGCGCGAATTGTGCGAGCGCTTCTGCTGCGTTGCCGGTGCCGCCGTGGCGTTTGGCACAACTGGCCGAATGAGCAGCATAGAGCAGCAATGCTGGCTTGGAGAGCTCGGCGGCC